TGTGTGTGTGTGTGTGTGTGTGTGTGTGCTCTCGAGTGCGTGCAAGAGAGAGGGGGGTATTGGATTAGAGGGGACAGATGAAGGGAAAATGCCCTGTCTGACCGTGGAGTTCCATGCCAGCTCAGCCACTTGCTACTTGGGAAGCTTGATTAGCTAAAAGAGATAGCCTTCCTGCACTGGCCACACTGACATATAGACACCAAAGCGGTAAAACAGTAGGAGAGAAGGGAGACTGCAGACCGTGAGATCTGAGCGCAGCATGGAAATCCCCTTCTGCAGCCTTAGGTTTGCCTGTGCCGTGTGGCTAGGCCTCGCTGTGTCTGCCAATGCCCTTCCTTGCTCGAAGGTGCTGCAGAGTCTGGAGCAGAGGTGATGCTTGCCATGCATAGTGACGGGAAGGAGAGGACTGGAGGCTTGGAGGGGGACAAGGTGGCTGTGCCTCACCAGAGCGTACTAACAGAAGCCCCCCTTCCTTTCCCGAAGGCCGGGAAGAAGTGTCTGGCTGTGTACCAGCCGGAGGAGCCCACAAACTTCACCCTCGCGGGCTGTGTCAGCACTCACACCTACCGACCCAAGTACTGTGGTGTCTGCACTGACAACAGGTGCTGTATCCCCTACAAGTCCAAGACTATCAGCGTCAATTTCCAGTGTCCAGAGGGTCCAGGCTTCTCCCGTCAGGTCCTGTGGATCAACGCTTGCTTCTGCAACCTGAGCTGTAGGAATCCAAACGATATCTTTGCTGACTTGCAGTCCTACCCTGACTTCTCAGAGATTGCCAATTAGCTAGGTGTGTGGCTCGGGGCAAAGCTCCATGTTTGCAGAGCAGTCAGCCCTCTGAGGCCCAGGACTTCACAGTTGAGCCTTATTCCAGCCCCTCCTACTCAGTTCCGAATTCCCTGATCCTGACTCTCAGTTTCTGTTCCTACTCCGACCATCCCAATGGCCCAGGAGAATGCTGCTCAGGGTTGGACAAGGCATCCTTCCTAGGGGATATTCTAAATCACTCCAAAGAAATAAACATCTCAGACTGTTCAAGATGAATCTCAAGCCTGACTAGGCCTGTCTGGCTCCAGCCTGCTCAAGTTGTCAGAGATCCTGATGGAGCTGCATAAGGGATGGAATCCATTGAAAAGCCAGTATCACAGACCCCTTCTTCAGATGCCAAACCTGCTGATGCTGGGGTCCTCTCAGGCAGATGGATGGGGCCGGGGACACAGGAATAAGCTATTATTTGGGCCTTGCTAAATGATACTATCATGGGCATGCATTTCTGCCCACAACACACCAAAAGTGCTCTCATTCCAAAGATCTTTGTACCATGAAGTCACCAAACACTTTCCAGGTGAGGTCAATGGTGGTGCCATTTTTTCTTTGCAATAGAAAATCATTTCCATTAATCTGGGAATAACTGAGGATACATTTCTCTTTTTCCTGTGGTATGAAGGGACTCAAATCGGGTTCATGTTGATCAGAAATATAATTTGAGAAATTTTATTTTGGCTGGTAGGTGACAACCCCCAATCCATCCTACAGAGAGAGGACAAGGCCAGCCAGTCTCACAGGCCACAGTTGATAAGTTCACTGAATCTGTTGCATACCAAGTTCTTAGGGCAATTAGCCAACTCTCTCTAACACCTGGGCCTCCCTTGCCCTGGGGCTCCTGGGAGTTGGTAGGGACCTTGGGGTTAGCCTGTCTATTGTCTCAACATTACCCTGGAACCTTGAGATGGTGGGAAGATGCCCCCATGAGCCTTGGAAGATTCTTTTGAAGTTCAGACCAGACCTAGCAGGATGTACACATCAAACAAATATGTAGGTCACCCTTCACTGCTCCGAGTGGCCTCTGGCAGGAGTGGTGAGGCCACAATAGTCCCTGGGCTCAGGATATATGTCTTATGCTTTAGTGACTTATTTCACAGCTTTAGTGGCTGTGGAGCAAAACAGCTCAGTTTTCTAGTCTGAAGATAGACATTGACCAGCTATATAGAAATGGAAATCTGAGGCCCGG